TGCGCTTGGAAAAGAAACACTTTTTGTGTCACTGGCTTAAGTAATTATAAAATGAAACAATCAGGAAATCAGCAATACCTTGAGATCTGAGGTTTAATGGTTGGGCATAGACATTAATTTTTAAAAACATTATTTTAGCTCAGCTGAATTAAAGTTCTGAATAGGGAATGAGAAAGCAAAAAGTAAAACTACGGAGCCCCTAGTATTTAAATTTTACACATTATTTCAGCTAGTCATATGAGTAAACTATTACAGTAAAAGCCATCATTCAGTATATACTGTATGTCAGACACTGTGCTACAGGATTCACATTTCTTCTCATGTAATCTTCACAGTGACTTTATTAGGTAAATATTATTCCCATATTAAAAATGAAGGAAGTGCAGTAGAAAGAGGTAAAACCACTTGTCCAAGATTTCCAGATTTGGAAAACTGTAGAATGGGGAACAAAATGTAGGTTTAGCTAGTTATAAATATCATTTCTAGTTATTAATTTTTTAAGAATATTTTTTTCAAAATAAAAACATTTTTGCTGTAGTGTCTGAGAATACATTGAGAGGGGTCTTCTGGGGTACCTGCCACGTTCTGCTTCATGATCTGGGTGGTGGTTACATTGAATATTTCAGTGAGGTCTTCACTTACCACTTGTGTGCTTTTCTGTATACGTTATATGCTATAAAGTGCTTACTTAAAGAAGTGTAATTCATGCTGAATACAGCAAATGTGACAGACGGGTAAGTACAAAGAGGAAATAAATTCAAGGGTCTTTTGTGGTTCCCATACAAATGTTAGGATTGTTTTATTACTGTGAAAAATGTCATTGGGGTTTTGATAGAGATTGCTTCGAATCCATAGATTGCTTTGGGTAGTGTGGACATTTTCACAGTATTAATTTTTCCAATCCATGAGTACAGAATATTTTTCCATTTATATGTGTCTTTTTCAATTTCTTTTCTTAATGTCTTATAGTTTTTAGTATATTTATGTCTCTCCTTGGTTACATTTATCCCTGGATATTTTATTCTTTTTGATGCAATGGTAAATGGGATAGTTCTCTAAATTTCTCTTTGATAGTGCATTATTAGTGTACAGAAATGCAATAGATTTTTTTTATTGGTTTTGTATCCTGTAATACTCCTTAATTCATTTATTAGTTCTAAGTTTTTTGATGGAGTATTCAGGGTTTTATATGTATACTATCATGTCATCTGTAAATAGTGACTTTTACTTCTTCCTTTTCAATTTGGATGTCTTTTATTCCTTTTTCTTGCCTAATTGCTCTGGCTAGGACTTCCAATACTATATTGAATAAATATAGCAACAATGGACACCCTTATCGTGTTTCTGAGCTTAGAGGAAAAGCTTTCAGCTCTTCTCCATCAAGTAGAATGTTATTTTGGAGCTTGTCATATATAGCCTTTATTATGTTGAGGTATGTTCCCTTATACCTGCTTTGCTATCATAAATGGATGTTGAATTTTGTCAAATGCTTCTTATGCACCTATTCAGATGATCATGATTTTTATCCTTCATTAGAGGCCCAGTGCACAAAAATTCATGCACTCAGGGGGTTCCCTCAGCTGGGTCTACACCCTCTCGCAGTCTGGGAGCCCTCGGGGGATGTCCGACTGTCAGCTTAAGCCACAGTCTGGCCTCCCTCTGAGACCAGTGGGCTGATTGAGGGATGGTGCAGGGCGAGTGGCCACCCCTGCCCCCCATCACCCCTCCACCGCCGCCCCCTCCCTCTGCCAATTGGCACCTGCCTTGGCTGGCCTGGTGCTTGCTGGCCCCGCCCCCTGCCAACCGGTAGTTCTGTTGTTCGGTCGATTTGCATGTTAGGCTTTTATTAATAGGATTCTTAATGTGATGTATCACATTGATTGATTTGTGGATGTGGAACTGCCTTGCATCCGTGAACAAAACCCACTTGATCAGTGTTTGATCTTTTTATTTATTTATTTTATTTTTAAAATATATTTTATTGATTTTTTACAGAGAGGAAGGGAGAGGGATAGAGAGTTAGAAACATCAATGAGAGAGAAACATTGATCAGCCGCCTCCTGCACACTCCCTACTGGGAATGTGCCCGCAACCAAGATACATGCCTTTGACCGGAATCGAACCTGGGACCCTTCAGTCTGCAGGCCGCTGCTCTATCCACTGAGCCAAACCAGTTAGGGCTGATCTTTTTAATGTATTGTTTAATTTTCTTTAATATTTTGTTGAGGGTTTTGGCATCTATTTTCATCAGGGATATTGGCCTCTAATATTCTTTTCCTGTGTTGTCCTTGTCTAGTGTTGTTGTCAGGGTGATGCTGACCTCCAAAAATGAGTTTGGAAGCATTCCCTCCTTTACTATGTTTGGAAGAGTTTGCGGATTGGTATTAGTTTTTGTTGAATGTTTGTTCGAATTCACCAGTGATGCCATCTGGTCCTAGACTTTTCTTTGAGAGGTTTCTGATTACTGATTCAATCTCCTTATAGTACTCTGCTCAGACTCTCTCTTTCTTCCTGATTCAGTCTTGGTGGGTTGCATGATTCTAGAAATTTATCCATTTCTTCTAGGCTGTCCAATTTGACCGATAATTGTTCATAGTAGTTTCTTATGATCTTTTGAATTTCTGTGGTAATAGTTGTAATAGCTCTTCTTTCATTTCTGATTTTCTCTTTTTTTCTTTGTGAATCTAGATCAGGGGTCCTCAAACTTTTTAAACAGGGGGCCAGTTCACTGTCCCTCAGACCGTTGGAGGGCCGGACTATAGTTTTAAAAAAAAACTATGAACAAATTCCTATGCACACTGCACATATCTTATTTTGAAGTAAAAAAAACGGGAACAAATACAATATTTGTATTTGCATGTGGCCCGTGGGCCGTAGTTTGAGAACCCCTGATCTAGATGATTTATGGGTTCCTCAAAAGCTACCATTTAGTTTAATTATATTTATTTACTTATTTATTTTTAAATATATTTTATTGATTTTTTTTACAGAGAGGAAGGGAGAGGGATCGAGATTTAAAAACATCGATGAGAGAGAAATATCGAACAGCTGCCTCCTACACAGTCCCTACTGGGGATGTGCCCGCAACCAAGGTCCATGCCCTTGACCAGAATCGAACCTGGGACCTTTCAGTCCGTAGGCCGACGCTCTATCCACTGAGCCAAACCGGTTAGGGCTAGTTTAATTATATTTAATAGTGTGTTATGAATTTATTTAAATGAATTGTCAGATGTCTTTTATTAGAGAAAAAATAGCTTTCAACATTAAAAATCTCTAAGATTACTTAAATCCTTCAAATAAAAAAAGATGCTATTGTTGCATGATTGTCCCTTTGGAACTGTTGTAGGTCTGATAAGAGAGGAGGCAACGTTAGTGAAAAGGCCAGTGAACTAGCAGCAGTCAGGAATACTGGTTTCTAGTTTTGCCTGTGCCACTGAATAAAAACCTCATTGTAGACAAGTCTCAACTTCTTTGAACTTCAGTTTCTTGAGCTGTAAAATGAGAGGACTGGGCAGTATCTCAAAGGACACTTACCGCCAAAATAATTATGACCCAGGGGATTCGCCCAGGTATCAAACTTTTATTATAATAAAGAGGGAATTAATGAAACAGAAACATTCACTATCGTAGGAGACTAGAGCTTGCCACTGTTATTGGCAGACACCATGTGTTTCCTGCCCTTTCCACAAGCAGCCATGGGAAGGGAAGCCACAGGGGAGAGGGACAGGACGTCCTTCCTTGACATGTCACTCATCAGCCTATATCTTTACATTTTTTTCATGGCCATCAGATCTGGTATCTCAGAAGTCCATCCCACAGAACACACACAAAAAAACCTACAAATAACTTGTGATGAAGACCAAATAAGTGCTTAATTCCATTTGCACTTGTTATACTTTTCCAAATGTGTTCCTTTCATTATGGTTGTGGCCTGCACGTACAGTGACATTTCAGGGGCTTGGAGAGGGGTAACATTTGCACAGAAACGGCTGCAGGAACTCCGGCTCCTTGGGGAGGCTGGTGCTGTTGCCCGTTTGCAGGTGAACCGTGGAGAAACGGGACCGGACAAGTGAAAAGGGAGCCGTGCCTGGGAACCTGAGACAGTTCCAGGGAGCAGAAAGGGACTTTGTTTTTTCGGGCAGCGTAGCTTTAAGGCTCCGGGAGGTCGATGATACACTTGCCAACTTCCCTTTGAGGACAGGAAATGTCATTTATCTCAATAGCCCCAGCGACAGATATAACTGGCAATCAAATAGTTGTTGAATTGAGTAAAAACTGCGCGGGAGTAAGGTGGGGGAAAGGAGACCGACATAACATAGCCTCGGATATCTGCAACTTTTAAAGATTTACTGCAAGATTAACCACAAAGGGCAAGCGACTTCAGCGGAGCACTTTTTCAATGAGGTGTCAACAAAGCAGCATAGGAGAGAGGGGCGATCGGAGCTCCTTTTAAGTGAAAACAGACCCCGCAACAGGCTTGAACCCCTGAGTGAACACGGGAGAAGCGACAGCGAGGGGCAGATGGCAGGAGCGAGTGTCTAGGTCGGAGAAACACCCAAGTCGGAGCCGGACGGAGAGGGCTCAGTGCAGTAGCCGGGCCGGAGAAGCTCGCTTTGCGCTTGTTTCCTAACAGAACTACCAGGAAGCCCTAAGAGAGGTGCTGCTCGGGCGGGTAGACGGGCCTGAGAACTTCCGTGTGTGTGTGGGTGTGCAACAGGGAGCGCCGCCCGCGCACTTCCGCGTGGGAGGGAGCCCGGCGCGCCGCCCGGCTGCGCCCGCCCCGCCCTTGGAAACCCACGCACCCAGCCGGAGCTGCCCCACCGCCCCGGGCAGGAAAGGGGCGGGGCCGCGCGCGCGCCGCAGCCCCACAGGCCGCCTCCGCCGGGCCCGCCGTCGCCACGCCCCCGGACTACATTTCCCAGCATGCCGCGCGCCGCCCGCGCGCCGTAGTTGACCCATTTCCCGGCCCGTCCCGGGCTCGGCCGGCCCCCGCGCCGAGGCGGCTGCTCCCTGCTGACTGGGGTGTGGGCGGGGAGCGGCGGAGGGAGGAGGAGGCGCTGCTGCCGCCGCCGTTGCCTCCGCTGCTGGGCGCTGGGCAGCTCCCCGGGCTTCTGCGGCTGCCATGGACGAGCAGGCGGGTCCCGGCGTCTTCTTCAGCAACAACCACCCGGGCGCCGGCGGTGCCAAGGGTCTCGGGCCTCTGGCGGAGGCGGCCGGCGACGGGGCGGCTGCGGCGGGGGCGGCCCGAGCCCAGTACAGCCTCCCGGGGATCCTGCACTTCCTGCAGCACGAGTGGGCCCGCTTCGAGGTGGAGAGAGCCCAGTGGGAGGTGGAGCGGGCGGAGCTGCAGGTAAAGACCCTCCCGGCCTGGCCCTCTTCATCCCGCCTCTTCGCTCCCTCTCGCCCCGCCCCGGACCCTTCCCCCTCCCTCTCCGGCCCTCTCCGGTCCCCTCCCCTCGGCTCCCACCCTCCCACCCGGCACTGTCCCCTTCCCCCCCTTCACCTTTGCCTCTGGCTGACCCCACTTCCTTGACCCGGGTTCCCACTCCCGCCCTGATGCGTTGTTTATACCCTCCCGCTCCTCTGCGTTTGCTCCTTCCTTCTCTGAACTCGGTCTCCTTTCCACGCTCCGGCCGTCGCTCGTTGCAGGGCTTCCCTTTCGTGCACTCATGGGGCCAGCAGTAGTTTGGAAGACGCCGGGCAAATCGTCCGTCCTGTGTCCTAGGTCTAGAGACGTGCCCGCGGTAGGGATGGGCGATAGGCTCCTCCGAGAGGAAGGTGAGCGGAGGAGACGCCAGAAGTTGAACCTGTGCGGCCTGGGCTGTCGTCGGCGAGAAGCTGATGTTGGGGGAGAAAGTGTTACTAGGCATATGCCGCGCGCCCCTTACAGATGTAAATGTGTCTTCTCCTCCTCCCACTCCCTCACCCCCTCCCGCGTTGCTTTGAGGTATTTCAGATTCATGGATTGTGGAGGAAGGACCCACTAGGAGAGGGGATCGCAGTCAGATGGTAGTTGAGAGATGGTTTCCTGTTCTCAGAATCTAAAACTTCCCCGAGGATTAATGTGACGTTCGGTGTTTTGTGGGATCGACTTTGACTCTCAAAGGGACTGAAAGGGGCTTTAAAGTTGGTGACATTTCCTGCATCATCTGCAAAATAGAGTCTATCCAGGGGGGAGCAGTTGTGGCCTCTGAGGAGAGTGACAGTGAGGCTGAGACTTTGCAGGCCATTCTGAGCTCGTAGGTGGCTCTTATTGAAAACTTCCAAGCCAGACACCAATTTCACAAGGAACTTAAAGAGCTGTGCTTTCCTGGCTGATCCTGCATGTGTATGAAATTGGAGTGTAGTTTTGGTTGGTTTGAGACACTTGAAGTTAAAATGCTACCCAGTGGGCCACTCTTTTTTTGGTAACATGTATTTTCTTTGATCCTTAAAGAAAAAAAGAGAAAAGGAGAAGTCTGTTTAACAGGGTCTGTGCTGGGACAGGCTGCTTTGGTGTGGTGCAAGTGGAATGAAAAGAGCAAGCAGTAGACGGTTACAGTAGGGGCTCGGCTTGCTGCTAGCTCTGTGACCTTTAGGAAATCCTCTAACCTCTCTGAACTTCAGTTTCATCACTTATTTATTCAGCACCTTTACTGAGTGCCAGCGGTGTGCCTCTAGGTCCTGGGATTGACAAAACTGACGCAGCCTCTACCCTCATAGAGCTTACGTTTTAGGTGGGAGGCAGTGAGTCAATGCATCTCTATAACATACTGACCCATAGAAGCAACTGCTCGAGAATAACAACTCAGGATACAGGAATAGAATGTGATAGGGGCAGCTATTTTAGATGGAGTGGTAAGGGAAGGCCTCGGAGGGGTTGAAGGAAGTGAGGAAGTGACCCATCGTTTCTCAGATTCCTTCTGAGCCTCTGTTTATATTCTTTGGTGTTACGTTGCTTTAGTATCTGGTCTTTTGATATTTTTAATTTTTCTTATAATGTGTCTGACCATGTCTGTATAGTAAACAGCAGACTTAGATGCTCCACTCAAATTTACTGGTAATGCACCTTGATTTACAGTGAATTCCATAAATGAGCTTGTGGATTTCAGACTTCAAGGAAGTGTTAAAGGCAGGCTTTAACTTCCATGTTGTACTGTTGTGGAGGATGATTTTTATATGTAACCACTGAAGTTTTAATATCTTTTCTAGTTTAGGGAATGTAAGATAAGTCACACAAATTGGTTAAAAAACAAGAAAACAATTCTTACTACTTGGGGAACTTTGGGAATTTTCAACCCACTTCACCCCCTGTGTCTCCCCTCACCTCACTGTGTTTAAACTTTTTAATTTTACCTGTTACTGTAGCCACTCTTCAGTTTTATATGCACACACAACTTCCTGGGTTATTAATGGGAAATGTTAAACTTAAGGTAGGTTTCCCATTGGTGCTCATTATATTAAGGACACTGCATTTTTACAGTACCTTTTGGTTTGTTCTCAAATTAAATTAAGCATCCACAGAGAAACTTAAAAAAAGTTATATTTTCCAAACAGAGCAAGTATTATGTATTTTGGGGGGATAGAGTTTGCAGGAACCTGTGGTCTTTGGCCTCTTTATTAGCATTATTGAAAATCATTTATTTTTATTATTAACAGTATTACAGATGTTCCCCATCCCCCCCATTTGCCAAATCATTAAATTTGAGCATATCCCTTCATTTTTCTATTGCCATTGGAAATTTTCCTAGAAAAAAAATAGGAAGTAAGAACTGAGTGATGATGAAATTTGGATTACTTGATGTCTTCCTTTTAATTTTTAAACCTTTTCTCAAGTCCTTAACACCAAAGTCAACAAAAATACCTTTAAGATGAACTCTAATGTGTCTCTTCAGGAACCTGTTAGTCCTGCTCTTTCAAATTGCCAGGGCAGAATTGTGAAAGGCAATCCAAGCCCCCACCTATCTACCTGGCCTGCCGTCATCACTTCCTCCCTCCTTCAGATCTTGAGAGTAAGGGACTAACCACGTTGTACCAAAAACGTATTGTCATTTTGTTCCCCCTTGCCCATTTTAGTTAATAGATGATTCTCTTTTACTTTTGGTAATCCCCCTCACCCACACCATGCATATGAGCATAGGTAATTCATGGGAAAAGAATGGTCAAAATTATTACTGAGCTTTAATATTTGTGAAAGGAATTGAAAATGGGATACCTAACATTTGAAACAATTTTCTGGGTGAGACAGATTGAACCAGATTGATTACCTCAAAGAAACTTGCAGTCTGGTTGGAGTGATAGAACAATCAGAATGCAGAAAAATTAGTGTTTATCACTTGAGGGATTTAAATTTTCTCAGTATAGCACAGAAGAGCTTACCAGTGAGTGGAGTGAATAGCAGGAAAAAAGAACTTTATGAGGTAATGAGAACCTAAGGCTCAGTTTCGAAAATTACTGACTTATGGGAAAACAAACGTAAATAAAAAAAATAAAAGTTATTGCCTTAGTTGTGTGTGTGTAGTTGGGGAGGCTGTGCTGTTTACTTGGAAATGCTAGAACTGAGAAAAAGGTCAAGCTTTCATTAGTTATATGGTTGCTGGTACTAGAGTGTTTATGAATTTAAATTTTGGCATTGATGATTCATATTTTCATTCAATAGATGTTTTTCAAGTGCCTATTTCCTGCCAGGTCCTGTTCTAGGCACTGAGAAACAACAATGATGAAAACAGATCCTACCCACATGAAACTTAAATTGTGCGGGAAGCACAAGACTGTATTAAATAAATGCATCCTGAAAACATTAGATGGTAATAAGAGCTGTGATAAAGTGTGTAAGTGGGATATGGAGTGCTTGGGAGGATGGAATGGGGAAGAAAGGCTTTACTGATAAGGTGCCTTTTGAACAGAGACCTGAAAAGTTGAAATCTAAGGAGAGTATTCCAGACAGAGGGAACAGAAGAGGGAAGGAACACGCTTGGAATGTTTGAGGAATAATGAGGCAAGTGTGGGTGGAGTACAGGAGGAGACTAGAAGAAATGATGTCAGAAGTATTGAGTCTTGCCCATGGTAAGGACTTCAGATTTTACCTCAACAAGGTGGGGAACTATTGAAATGTTTTGAACAAAAGAGTGACAGCATCTTTAAACAGAACCCTTTGCCAAGGATTCAGAATAGACTTGGAGGGGAGTGGAGGATAGAAGAATCAGAGTCTAGTTAGGAGGCTCTTTGAATAATCCAGGCTAGAGATGAACTAAAGTGGCAGTAATGAGATCTGGGATTATATAATATGAAACATGTTCAAAATATAATGGATTTTGAATACATTTTTGAAGGTAGAATCAGCAAGATGTGATAGAGGACAGGATATGAGATTTGAGACAAAGGGGAGTGGGAGATGGGGAGAAAGGCAGAGAAAAATATTGATGTGAGAGAAACACATCAATTGGTTGCCTGCACACTCCCGACCAGGGCCTGGGTTGGGGAGGAGCCTACAACAGACATATTGCCCTTGATCTGAATGGAACCTGGGACCCTTTGGTCCACAGGCCAACTCTCTATCCAATGAGCCAAACCGGCTAGGGCTACCTTGTGAGAATTAAATGAGATATTTTAAGATATCTAGCAGAGGCCTGGTACATAACACAAAGTAAGTGCCGAATAAATAAGTAGTATCAAGTGCATGATGTTAAAGTTGTGTATCTCCTTGTTCCCACAGAAAAGCACACTCTTCAGTTATGAACTCTTCTAAGGCGAGAGCATATAAGTGCCATTCTGGAACCATGCAGTTTCAGATTCTGGGTCTGATAGCGGCACTAAGGGACATTCAAATAGGAATCAGCCTCAAAATTTTGATAATAGGACTCCTTTCCCAGGCCAGGTCTGCTGGCTCATCCTCTTAAACCCCTCCACCCCCAAACATTGATAATATACTATGTGTCTTCTGTTTTGAATTTTCTGTAAACATTTCAGAATGTGTCTATCTTAACCACGCATGACTTCTTAGGTAACAAATTGTATATATTTACTAACCACTTTATAAAACTAATTTTTTGTTTTATTTGGACCTTTAAACTTGGAACTGGTGAGCCCCATTGTGGTATGGTGAAATTTTGTAAACAGGTTTATTTATTTATTTATTTTTCATATATTTTATTGATTTTTTACAGAGAGGAAGGTAGAGGGATAGAAAGTTAGAAACATCGATGAGAGAGAAACATCGATCAGCTGCCTCCTGCACACTCCCCACTGGGGATGTGCCCGCAACCAAGGTACATGCCCTTGACTGGAATCGAACCTGGGACCCTTCAGTCTGCAGGCCAACGCTCTATCTACTGAGCCAAACCCGTTAGGGCAACAGGTTTATTTTTTGAT